CAAAGTATTTTTTTGGTAATCAATTGCTGTCTTGCTTGGATTAGCAGTTTTATAAACAAGTCAGTCTCTTTACTAAAGCTCCAGGAATTCTTTTCCAGTTCAAATTATTTGATTCTAAAGTTATCATAAACCTTTATTCAAGAGAGCCTTTCAGAATCCTTTCCATACTTTCATAAACCTCCTTAAAGATACTATATTCCAGGAATTTTGTGCTTGTGAAGTTTTCATAAACTGCATCAGATTTAAGCAATTAAGATTTAAGGTTTAAAACAGTTGACCAAAATAGGATCATGGGTCACCATAAAACAACAGTCATTAATTTAACTATAAGATTTTTAAAAACAATAACCTTATACACTTTGATTAAAAAACACAGTCTTCAAAACAATCAAAAGATCAAAGAAAGTATGAAACAATCTGTCTCTTCTTTTGCCTCTTTTTTTCCTTTTCGCAGTTTACTCAGAAGGTGAACAGTAATATTTTACTGTGTCTTATTAATACTAAACACAATTTGTTTAAAAGAGAAAACAAAATTTCTATTAGTGTATTATCAACAATAAAACTAATTTTAAGAAAATCTCAGAAATAAATTGATCAAATATGTCATATTTGAAGCACACAAAATTTCCATAAATATTTTTCTTTATATTTTCCCCAATTTTCTATATTCAGCTTGGTGTAGCTATTTTTTAACTCCTTTTTGGAGCCTTTAAGTGACTTCAAACCAGACAAAATTTTTAACAACACTTTTCTCTCTTTATAACTTTCCTTATCAAATGTATATCTTGCTTTTGTTCATACACTCTGTATACAGAGATGTTTCTCTCATATGTAGTATTTTCTAATTCTGAATAACCCTAATTGCAAGGGCTTCTTAGAAATCCTAATTAGTTTCTAATCATAGTAAGTAATTTTGAACTGTTTTATATCAGTTTTTGTAGCTAAAAACCATTTCATAATTTTTAGAAAGATAGTTCTTCAAATTGTTTATTAACATCTAAATATTTCTACCTATTCTATACTATATAAAAATAACATGTCAAGGTATGTAAACAAACTCATATTTAATATTTCAATATCTTAACTAACAAGTAACTCAGACATTTTATGATTATCTGTTACTTAATCTAACATAACTTAACTTGAAAATTTTAAGTTACTGAAAAGAATTTTGAAACTATGACACAGGTTGTCTCACTAATGTCTTCCTCCGGTCATTCTAGGTCCCAGCTAGTCACGTGACACCTAGCAGATCTATGAACAGAAGACAGAGTTGTGAAGACTATTCCTGAAAGATCCAACACCTCCGAAAATAGCCAGGAGGCAAAACAGGAAAAGCTAGGGAAGAAAGGACCATGTTGGGCTTTATTCTGGCTTGTTGCCTCTGATCTCGGCACTTAAAACAAACATGTCTCTAGACATCATCATGGCCACCTATCTAGACCCCTGAATCCAGAGACTCTAAAGCAAAGACATCAAGCAAGTATCTAACAATTTCTATTTTTAACTCATTTCTATTTTGCCAACCATTTAAAAACTAGCTTTATTTACCAAATATCACAAACACATAACACACATAAACATACAAACACACAGAAGCAGATCTTATAACCCTCACTAAGGATTTCCATTTGCTGGCTTTTAAATGGTTTTTCTTTTTTTCCTCTGGTCTATCAGTCTTCTAATTACCTGTTTCACTGCCCTAAGCAATTGCTAACAAGGGAACAAATTTGCATTTCTAAAAAGACAACTCTTAGTTGGAACAAAACAAAATTATATTTTATAATCACAGAGTTAAGATTTTAGACTTAAATATTCTATTTGCTCAAACCAAGGGGGAATAAACTGCTCAAGTAAGAATTCAGTCAAGAGAAGATGGCTAAATATATGAAGAGACCCTTCTCAAAAGAAAACATACATGTGGCCAACAAGCATATTAAGAAAAGCTCAATATCACTGATCATTAGACAAATGCAAATCAAAACCATGATGAGATACCATGCCACACCAGTTAGAAAGGCTAATTATTAAAACGTCAGAAAATAACAGATGCTGGTAAGGTTGTGGTGAAAAGCGAACCTTTATACACTTCAGGTGGGAGCTTTAATTAGTGCAACCATTGTGGAAAGCAGTATTGTGATCCTCAAAGAGCTAAAAGCAGAACTACCATTCAACCCAAAAACCCATTGCTGGGTATATATATCCAGAGGACTATAAAGCATTCTAGCAAAAAGACACATTCACGTCAATGTTCATTGTAGCACTGTTCACAATAGCAAAGACATGAAATCAACTAAAATGCCCATCAATAACAGACTAGATAAAAAGAATGTGACACATATACACCATGGAGTACTATGCAGCCATAAAAAATCACAAGATTATATATTTTGCAGGAACATGGATGGAGCTGGAGGCTATCATCCTTAGCAAACTAACACAGGAACACAAAATCAAATATGGCATGTTCTCACTTGTAAGTGGAGCTACGTGATAAGAACTTTTGAACACAAAGAAAACAACAGACACTGGGGTCAACTTAAGTGGGGAGGGTGGGAGGACAGAGAGGGGCAGAAAAGATAACTATTGGGTACTGAGCTGAATACGTGGATGATGTAACAATATGTACAACAAACCCCGTGACACTTGTTTGTATAACAAACTTTCACATATACCCCCAGACCTAAAATTAAAAAAAAAAAAATTAAAGTCAAGAAGTAAACACCTTTTCAATGAATTATATAAAGTCTATATTCTTCATTTATTGAACTCAAACCTGATATGTATGGAGAAACTTACATCTGAGTTGACATTTCCTATAGTATGGCTTTTAGGTACTCTGGAGGGATATTTGAAAGCTGTGCCCTGTTAATATTTATATAGGGCCAAATGGTAGAAGTTATGTAAGATTATTCAATTTTAAATGACAGTGGATTTGACTCACCTGTTAAAATGTTTCTAAAATTAATGAGAAGAAAGCTCGAATAATACATTTAGAAAATTCAGTAACCAACTTCAGCCAACATACTTTGAGGCTGCATCTTGTTACATAAAGCACAGTTTTATACAAAATATCTGCTGCATCCAGTGGGAACTCTTCATTTTTAAAAGCATGAAGGATTATCTTAGCTGCAATCAGGCACTAACTTTTTAGAGAAGCAGCAGTCGACCTTACAGTTACCATGGACACTTACTTTTAACATTAAAGTGATACTTCCCATAGATTTCCCTGTTCATTCCTTCTGAATGCATATTAAGAAGAGAAATTACATTACAATCTGTTTTGTAGACCTCGCTATTCAGCACACAGCAGATATCTTAGCATATATTGACCAGACTGCTGGAGACAGTGCTCCATGGAAGATGGACCTAATACTACCATTTCAACTGATATTTCAGTCATTTATCTAGTGCCTACTCCAGACCGGGTACATTAAAATGTAATTGGCATAAAGATTCAAATATGGCCAGACTCCTGCCATCAGAAAACTATCAATTGGAGGGGAGAGGCAGCCTTCAAAAACAAATAATTGTGATTATAAAATTACGTAATACTAGAGGCAGGTACGCTGGAATGTAGAAGCTCATAAAAATGCATTGTTTCTTGGGGTGTCAGGAAAATGTTATGGGGTGTTGCATTTGAGCTGATTCATAAATGATATGTAAGAACTTGCCACACTAGGAAAGTTCTAAAAAGAGGAGGAGGGAAGTCAAATCAGGAAGATCATATTGTACAGGGCACATACACCCCGAAACTGCCTAAAAATTGTCTAGAGATGCCCAATATTCCTGTATTTCAGATGTGATATGTGCAGATTGAGATGTGCCTCATCTCACAGAATGAAACCAGTTGCTTTCAATTAAGTGTTCTGGCCAGTACACACTATTTCTCTTTATGCAAATAAAAATGTAATGACATTCAGAATTTACAAAACAGGTCATCCCCAACCTCATCTCATTTTACTTGCATAGATCCTCGCATTTTATTTTTATATTTTTCTTTAAGTTCTGCGTCACATGTGCAGGATGTGCAGGTTTATTACACAGGTAAACATGTCACGGTGGTTTGCTGAACAGATCCACCCATCACCTAGGTATTAAGCCCGGCATCCAGTAGCTATTCTTCTTGATGTCCTTTCTCACCCCAGTCCCCCGACAGGCCCCCGTGTGTGTTGTTCCCCTCCATGTATCCATGAGTTTTCATCATTCAGCTCCCACTTATAAGTGAGAACACGTGGTGCTTGGTTTTCTGTTCCTGTGTTACTTTGCTGAGGATAACTGCTTCCAGCTCCATTAATGTCCTTGCAGAAGACATGATCTCATTCCTTTTTATGGCTGCAAAGTATTCCATGGTGTATATATACCATATTTTCTTTATTCAGTCTATCATTGGTGAGCATTTGGATTGCTTCCATGTCTTTGGTATTGTAAGTAGTGCTGCAATGAACATACACCTGCATGTATCTTTGTAATATAATGATCTGTATTCCTTTGGGTATACACCGAGTAATGGGGTTGCTGGGTCAAATGGTATTTATGGTTCTATGTATCTGAGGAAACTTCATGCTATCTTCAATGGATGAACTAATTTACACTCCCACCAACAGTGTAAAAGCATTTCTTTTCCTCTGCAACCTTGCTAGTATCTATTGTTTCTTTTTTTTTTTTTTTTTTTGACTTTTATTATTTTTTTATTTTAAGTTCTGGGATACATGTGCAGGTTTGTTGCATAGGTAAATGTGTGCCATGGTGATTTGCTGCACCTATCAACCATTACCTAGATAATAAATGCAGTATTAATTAACTATTTTACCTGATGCTCTTCCTTATACCCACAGGGTCCAGTGTGTGTTGTTCCCTTCCTTGTGACTATGTGTTCAGCTCCCACTTATAAGTGAGCATATATAGTGTTTGGTTGGCTGTTCCTGCATTAATTTGCTGAAGATCATGGCATCCAGATACATCCAGTCCCTGCAAAGGACATTATCTCATTCTCTTTTATGGCTGCATAGTATTCCATGGTGTATATGTACCACCTTTTCTTTACTTGGTCTATCATTGAATGGAATTTGGGTGGTTTCCATGTCTTTGTTATTGTATACAGTGCTGCAATAAACATACATCTGCATGTATATTTATAACAGAATGATTTATATTCCTTTGGGTATATACCCAGTAATGTGATTTCTAGGTCAAATGATATTTCTGGTTCTAGATCTTTAAGGAATCATCACAGCATTTTTCACAATGGTCGAACTAATCAACATTCCCATCAAAAGTGTAAAAGCATTCATATTTCTCTGCAGCCTCACCAGCATCTGTTGTTTCTTGACTTTTTAATAATTGCCATTCAGACAGGCATGAGATGGTATCTCATTGTGGTTTTGATTTGCATTTTTCTAACAATCGGTGATGTTGAGCTTTTTTCATACATTTGTTGGATGCATGAATGTCTTCTTTTGAGAAGCATCTGTTCATATCCTTTTCCCACTTTTCAATGGGGTTGTTTTTTTCTTGTAAATTTCTTTAAGTTCCTTGTTGACTGGATATTAGACTTTTGTCAGATGAATAGGTTGCAAAAATTTTTTCATTCTGAAGGTTCTCTATTCACTCTGATGCTAGTTTCTACCAGAGGCACAAAGAAGAGTTGGTACTATTTTTACTGAAATGATTTCAAACAATTGAAAAGGAGGGACCCCTCCCTAACTCATTTTATGAGGTCAGCATCATCATAATACCACAACCTGGCAGAGATACAAAAAAGAAAACTTCAGGCCAATATTCTTGATGAACATTAATGCAAAAATTCTCAATAAAATACTTGCAAACCAAATCTAGCGGCATGTCAAAAAGCTTATACATCATGATGAAGTTGTCTTCTTCCCTGGGATATATGGTTGGTTCAACATACACAAATCAATAAAGGCAATTCATCACATAAACAGAATTAAAGAAAAAAAATGTGTGATTATCTCAAAAGACGTAGAAAAGACCTTTGATAAAATTCAACATCCTTTTCTGTTAAAAATTTTCAGTAAACCAGGTGTTGAAGAAACATATTTTAAAATAATAAGAGCCATCTATGACAAATCCACAGCCAATATTATTCTGAATGGGCAAAAGCTGGAAATATTCCCCTTGAAAGCCAGCAAAAGACAAGAATGCCCTCTCTAACCACTCCTATTCAATATAGTATTGGAAGTTCTGGCCAGGGCAATCAGGCAAGAAAAAGAAATAAAGTGTATTCAAATAGCAAGAGAAGAAGTCAAATTATCTTTGTTTGCAGATGACATAATCCTCTATCTAGAAAATCCCATTTTCTCAGCCCCAAAGCTCCTTAAGCTGATAAGCAACTTCAGGAAAGTCTCAGGATACAAAATCAATGTTCAAAAATCATTAGCATTCCTATACACCAAAAACAGGCAAGCAAAGAGCAAAATCATGAATGAACTCCCATTCACAGTTGTTACAAACAGAATAAAATATCTAGGAATAAAGCTAACAAGGGAAGAGAAGAATCTCTTCAAGGAGAATTACAAATCACTACTCTAAGAAATCAGAGGACAAAAACACACAGAAAAATAATCCATGCTCATGAATAGGAAGAATCAGTATCATGAAAATGCCCTAACTGTCCAAAGTAATTTATAGATTTAATGCTGTTCCCATTAAACTACCATTAACATTGTACACAGAATTAGAAGAAGCTGTTTTTAAATTCATATGTAACCAAAATAAGGCCAGGAAAGCCAAAACAATCCATGCATTTTTAAAACAGATTGAATGTATAGTCCCATACTCTGATGCTCCAATCTGTGTGGAACGGTGGGAACCACACAGATGTGCACAGAAGGAAACATTCTTCCCAAACAATTTCCTCAAGTTTGGGCCCTTCACTCTCAGAGTCTTCCGGATAGCTAACTCCTTAGTTACCCCTCTGATTTAAATATCTGCTCATTTAGTACATTTCTTTGCTTTTAGAAATTTGTGATGTTTAAAATATAGCAAGAAAGAAAGCATCCAAACCATGCTAGTAGGAATATAACCAGATATGTTCAACTATTGTCATGTATGTTGTTATGTTAAGGAAACACAACATTAAGATCAACAACAATAACAAAAACTCAGTTGGGTAAAAGAAAAATTTAACCTAAAGGGAGAAAAGCTAGCATACAATATACCCCAATACACATTTTTTTTTTTTTTTTTTTTTGAGATGGAGTCTTGCTCTGTCGCCCAGGCTGGAGTGCCGTGGTGCAATCTCTGCTCACTGCAACTTCTGCCTTCCAGGTTCAAGCAACTCTTCTGCCTCGGCCTCCCAAGTGGTTGTGACTACAGGTGCATACCACCACACCCAGTTAATTTTTGTATTTTTAGTAGAAACAGGGCTTCACCATATTGAGCAGGCTGGTCTTGAACTCCTGACCTCAGGTGATCCACCCTCCTCAGCCTTCCAAAGTGCTGGGATTACAAGCATAAGCCACCAAGCCTGGCCACACATTTCTTGAATAAATCAACCCTGATGCTAAGTGCAATGGTTTAGGGAATAGAAAAAATAATTTTTAGTCCAGTTCTGTCATTTACCAGCAAGGATACCCTAGATACGCTCTCAAAATCTCAGTTTTTTTAATCCATAAACTAATATAAATAACTATGCATGATGAGTGTGAAAATGAAATAGAGTAATACAAGTCAAACTGTTTTGTGAAAATAGGAAATGTGATTATGATATAAGATATTAATGTTATTTAGACTTATTTCTAAATGCTTTACTAACAATTTTGAGTGCCTGTTATTTTCTATGTGGTATTTACTTATTTATTTATTATACTTTAAGTTCTGAGGTACATGTGCAGAATGTGCAGGTTTGTTACATAGTTACACACGTGCCATTGTGTTTTGCTGCTTCCAGTGTTTATGTCCACTTTAATATTTCTGTATTAAATGCTGGTGAGGTTTTCCACGTTCTCTAGCTATTATCAATGTTATATTTTATTAATGAAATATAATTATGCAAAATAGAAGCTTGCAGAGTTTCAAGAGAAAATAGATAAATACTATGTTATAAATTTATCTAAAACTATGTTATGGGGACTTACTTTGACCGCAGGATACCACACGGTAGGCTAGCATTCATGTTACCCATTTCTTTTTCTAATCTAAAAAATAAATAAAGCTATAAGAGAAAAATTGTCTCTTTATGAAATTGAAAGAGAATTTTTCATGCAATTTATATGAATTACAATGCACTTTCATATTCACTATTACATTTGTCCCCATATAATCTATATTGGAAGAAAACACACAACACTAAGTATCTTGGTACTGTTACCTCTCTTTTGTAGATGAGAACAATGTTGCTGAGATTTACAAAGGTAGTAAGAGGTAGATCTTGGTCTAGGACCTAGGCCTCTTGTTGTCTTATCTTATGCTTTTTCTCCTATAACACAACCCTCTTTCAATCAAAAAGCTTGAATAGCCAGTATTACATCAAAATGTAGACTGTGTTCCTCTGCCAATGTCTCAGCTGCCCTACTTTTTAGAATTTGGGGATTCAGCAATACTTCATGAAGAAAGCTGACCACCAAGCATAGAAAAATTTATTTATGGGCTTTTATGTAATGTAGGTTTCCAATATGGGAGAACATTTCTTTAAGGATTTATTTAAATAGTTTAAACAAACATCTAAAGTAATTTTCAAAAAGTGGTACTTTAAAACAGGCTATACTGTTTTTATTCTATTCAACATTACTTCTATAAATATGATATGAAATGTATGTTATTTGCAAGTATTAAAGGATTCTTATAATGAGTCACACAAAGATGATTAGCTATTTCCAGGTGACTCATTTGTTTATGTGGCTTCTTTCCTCCATTAATCAAGTCAGGTTTTAACAACAGGCTCCTCGACCATGCCTTTTGCTTTTAAGAGATAATAATAAATCTTAATAAATTATCCCTTATCCCTGAATACTACACAGTCTTATATTACGAATATGTGAAACCTGTAATTCTCTACAAAAGCCTGCTACTTCTAATTATTTTTTAACCTTTAACAGTAGACTGCTGTAAAGAGGTTCTATTTAACAAGGGATTCCTGACTTTAGCATAATATCTTGGGAAGGCTTACCACAATCGATATAAAATTATATATACAGAAAATAAGTAAGTGAGGTACAACCTGAAGAGAGTAGATTTACCGGATTTTGTTAATTCTGTAAGTTTCAAAAGCGAACACTTTTATTGGCCTAACAGAGTTCAGCTTGATAGTATATAAAATTCTCATTTGCAGTGATAGATGCAATACAAAGTGAGAAGTCCGGTCTATGTTTGCTACTCATTTAAACTGTTGTCATTTTACAACTTTCAAGATAATATATGTCATATATGTATATTTAATTGTCAGTTAGGGATTTGTATCCATTTTCTAAAACTACATAGAAAATTGCCACAAATTGGGTGGCTAAAAACAACTGTAATTTATTGTCTTACAGTTCTGAGCTCTAGGAGCCATAAGTCCAAAATTAGGTTGTTGGCAGGGCCATGTGTCCTCTGAGGGCTGTAAGTAGGAGAGATTCCTTTGTTTGCTTCCTCTCATTTCTGGTAGTCCCAGGCATTCCTTGCCTTCTATCTTCTGATAGCAAAACTCTGATATCCGCCTCTGTGGTCATTGTATTCTCCCCTTGTGTCTGTGTCTCTTCTCCTCTTTTTATAAGAAGAGCAGTCATACAGGATTATGGGCTGGCACTGCTCCAGTATGAACTCATTTTAACAAACCATGTCTGCAAGGACCTTAGTTCCAAATAACGTCACATTCTGAAGAATTAAGATGTCAACATATCTTTTTTTGGGAGGTGGGGGCAGTGTACAGGGGACACAATTCAAGTTGTAACAGGGCTTCAATCACATGGTCCAATATTAAACTATCCATTAATAATACTTCCTCCACCCTTGTGCCTCATTTACTCAATTCCCATCCCGTCACCAAATGTAATTACTGTTTCTTATATAGAAATTAGTGATTTATTCAAATTTT